AAAAACAAAAACCAATGACTACACACCCTATCACAACAGGAATGTTGGAAAACATCAAGTCATTGACCAGTTTGGGTTCCAATGGGCTGCAAATAGCCCTGGTATGAATCTAATCTAAAATATTCATTCGATAGTTAAAAGACTTCAGAAAAGAAAGCTACAAAAACCAGCTCATAAAACAAACCATTTGCATCTCTCTAAATGACACTCAAATTGAAAGAATGGATTAAAAATTAATTTTCAACTTACCTCAGAATAAGAATGTTAATTTTGAAATGTTTATAAAACATTAGAAGTCTCTACAGAGTGTGTCAATATCTACAGTCCAAGTACATTTTATCTTATTCAATTACTTAGTTTAATAATTTGTCCACCTCTGTATGTTTAAACGGTATTTTCAATACAAAATCTACAAATTTCTCCACTCCTCCAGATTAACTGTAAATTGGAAGAGGAAATTGACATTTACGTTATAAGTAACAATTACGTCAATTTGACCTCTGAAATGGGTCTTATGAGACCTTAAGAAATAGACCTACTATGCTGTAATTCAAATAGGAATTTGAGTGGGTTTGGTAAAGGATGTTTTGCATAAAATTGCTAAAATAGTAATAATTTATGAATTGTATTGTAACTTATAATATATGTATATATAATATAATATATTTAACTATTACAAATAATTACTGGTTTGTACTCTGGTATTATTCAGTATTTCTACATTGGTGCTTTAAAGTTGGCATTTTGATAATTCATACTATTTTCAGGATTGGTATGTAGTTCCTAAGGAACCAACATCAGAGGAAGCACCTGTTTTTTGGCGAATGACATTTTCTACACAAGAGAAGGAACTCATAAACAATCGAGGTTCAGTAAAGCATGTAATTAAACTCATAAAGGTAAAAACCTAGAGTTTTATTTTCATTTCATTTACTTTTGCTAGTAATTTACTCTATTAATATGCAAAACTTTTGATAGCTTTTGAGAGATAAAGAAAATTGGATTAATGATTTATACAGTTATGCAATTAAAACTGTATTTCTGTGGGAATGTGAAACATTAGATCCAGACTTTTGGAAACAAGGAATAGGATTCTTATTTGTTTATGTAAGTATGGGTAAGAAAACAACAACAACAACAATAATTATTCATTTACACAACAGGCTTCATTGCCCAAATGAAATTATATATTAAACATGATTGTAATATATAATTAATGTACATATAGAAATTAATTGTAAGTAATATTGATATTAATAACATTAACACGAAATTATATATTACACATAGTTGACATACAGAAGTTAACATAGTACGAAATATTGAAGTTAATAGCATTAACAAAAACAAAGTGCAAATAATGAAGTTACAAATTAGTAATAAATAATTCTACTATCTAAACTTGAATATTCTTTGTTTCAAACATCTTAGAAAACTTGCCTCTCTCATACATAATTGTTCATCAATCAAATATTCATTGCAATATCTTGTTAAACAAGGTATTGATGAACAACAGTAATTTTGAGTTTTGCAGAACATTCCTTCTTGTATTACATATCTGAAAAATCTATGTTATACACTATTTTGTTGTAAAATTCACACTTGGAGATGATACTACTAACATAATAGTAATAATAATAATAATAATAATAATAATAATAATAATAATAATAATAATAATAATAATAATAATAATAATAACAACAACAACAACAACAATAATACAGCAAAATCTGTTTAAATCGGAATATATACAAGCCGGAAACCTGCCTTAACCGGAAAATTTCTTCTGCTCGTGAAGTTAAACGGCATTTTACACAACATGAAACGGAACCTCGCCAATGCGGAAACGGAACGGTTTTTCATGTCCTGCCGAGGGGGAGAATCTTTATAAAACGGAATTCCTATGGATTTAATGCAGTTGGCAGAGAGGCAAGATGCTCTTAATGAAATGAATGCATTAAGAATCTGCAAACTTGTTCTAAATTCACTATCCCTATGCGATTTATAGTACGATTTATTAAGTCGTACTTGACTTAAATTAGCTGTTGCGGATTCATCCAATCGAGAGCTTATACGCCGCTACAGTGATGTCACTATTCTTTTCAAGCTCCCGATTGTATGAAACCGTGAGCAGCTGATTTATGTCAACTGAACGGTTAAATAAATTGTAGTATAGTCGTGACAGGGCAGAAACGGCAATATCACAAGCGTCATAAAATGGAAAACCTTTCATAAAATGGAAACCTCCCTAAACCGGAACTTTTTTTATGTCTTAATCGATTCCAGCTTTTTTCCGACAGATTTTATTGTACTATTAATAATTATGATGATCAAAAAAATCAATTTAGATGTTGCAGAAATTGGTAGATGTTTACCTGACAGATGGGAAAATAATGTTTTATTGGGATAAGAAACTCAATATAATTGGAAAGATGAAGGACAGTACAAGGAAGATTATGAGAGATCGCATTTTAATTATATTGAAAGGCCTGAATTCGAGTTTAGAAAATCCATATTCAGTCAAGAAATACTTTGGGTGTGTAAGCATTTAAAAGATTCATTTCCTTAACATGTGCAAATGGTATATTTGGTTTACTAACTTTGAGAGTGTATTAATTTTATTAATTTTCAGTTGTGTTCCTGAAAAAAATGTACAAAATTCAAGTGATGGCAATTCTTGTTCAACTTTGATTGATCTTGATGATGTACCAGATACTTCTACCCTTTCAAATTCATTTTCTGTAAGTTCTCCCCAGGACCTTTTAGAAAATGAAATAAAACCTGAGGAAGAAAAAGTAAATGTAGATGTACTTTGCACTGTTGAGTATAATCGGATGTGTGACAAAGATACAACAGTTGACAAAGATTCTACATCTGCATTTGAACTTTTAAAAACATTAATTCTCAAGGAAAACCAAGAAATGAAGGAAACTTTGCAATCCATTCTTTCACAGTTAAGTGAATTAAATAAAGAAGTTAAAATAATTCGAGAGGAAAATGCACTTATGAAGAAGCAACTTCAATGCAGAGCATCAATTTCCACATCTCCCTCAAATGAGATAGTAAAGAATCCCTCTTTTAGAGATCTAAGTATTTCACATTCACCCAACAGTCTAACGTGTTCTGACAGATCCCTGCCATCTGCAATTCAACACGATTCCATGAGAGATTCGAATGACAATTTAAATCAAGTTCCAAATTTTAGAACCGTTGATCATTTTTTACATCTTTTACCTGATAATTTTGGCAAATAGTAACAAACAAGTGATAAAATGATATCCACATTTATCTATCTATATTGTTGCACGATTGGTATTGGTGTAGGTTTTGTCTGTGACAAAACCATACAATTACTGAAGACATTTTTCTTTTTCATGTTTTGAAAGTAAATATTATAATTCTGTAAATTTGTTTCTCTTGAAATTTTATTCAAATAATCTATTTTCGTGAAGTGATTTTTCTTAGTAATGTACAATTTCCAACTCACATTTTTAACACAGAATAATGGTTAATGTTTTTCATAAAGACTAAAAAACACCAGAATCTCGCAGATTAAACATTTGTGTTGTCAACTAGCAAGTTTTGAGGTGAACAATTGTGCAAAACAATACTCAATGTAACAATTGAGAATATCTCTGTATATTTAGTTAAAAATATTGATTTGAATTTTCTGGCATCCTCAGGAGATTCAAACCAATATTTTTAACTTAAACTAAAGAGATGTTTTCAAACAAATGGCATTGTTGTAAGTGAAATGCAATGTGGTAATAAAGATCATTGCTGATGTTCTGTTTCACAATGTTTATGAAGAATGGATGTTTGGCTTTTTATTGCTTGTAAGGATTATTGTTACCACAAACCAGTCTTTGAGTTTATGAAAGAATGTAAAAACATGGTGCCCCAATCAAGTAGGCTTAATCTGCGAATATAAGACGACGTCGAAATTTTCAATTGAAATATTTATGAAAAAAACTCAGTCTTAAGTTCGGTCAAAAATGTCTTCTTCAAAAGTGTATAACTATATTGTGTTAAAATGTTGAAGTTGTTCACACTGGTAGCACTGGAGATTTTGTGTGTAGGTAATGTTAATACTGTGGAGCACTATTTATCAATTATTATGGAATAATTGCCAAAACTACACGAAAATACACAAAACCACAACCAAAATGTAAACCACAACAGTCTGAATATTGATGGTTCGGTTATTTGAGTCTTAATAATCAATGTCCTACTGTAATACAAAACCTTATTTTAAGTTAGGTATTAATGTGTTAAATTATAAATAAAAATTTGTGTGACTTGAAGATATTATTTTATTACCTTTTCACGTTATGCGCCATAGATATTACTTTTTTGGCTCGTAAACCGTGGCTGCTCCTGCCAGTTGTAACATGTTCTCGCTACAACCAAAATATTTCGACATTATTACTTTATATGATATGATGTACTATCACGCATCTGAAATGAAGATGAGATAAAGAAGTGTCGACGAATAAGAAATATTTTGCGTCGCTCGAGCTCGAAGGACAAAATGAAATAAAGACTACTCAAGCGAACACGTTTAGAAACCGTGGAAGTGGGAGGGGGCCGAGTAGGGCAATAAAAGGGAGTTTGTGTCAGCCCTCAGCCGCGGCGCCTTCCGACGCCGCCGCGGCAGCGCGCGTACGTCAATCAGCAGGGCCCTCCGGCAACGTCGAACAAAGGGACCGCTGCAGGTAGAACGCAGCGACCTGCGGCCGCAGTGGAAGGCTCCCATTTAGGGCCCCTTCCCACGGCGCGGCCGTGGCGCGCTTCGCAGCAGCGCGGCGCGTAGCAGAGCATTGGTTTGAATGGCCTTCCCACGTGCAGCGGGTGGTGGCTGCTGCGGCAGCCGACGCCGAACTCCAGCTACGCGAAGCGGAGGAGTGGCCACGCGCCACCGCTAGCAGAACACAGCTTTAAGGCGGCTTCCCACGGCGCGGCCGCGGCGCGCTTCCTTCAAGGAGCAGAGCTCTTCCAACGCAGCCACCGCCGGAGCCACGGCCGCACCGCCGCCCGCCGTGGAAGGGGGTGGGGTCTGGAGGGGTAGGTTTCGTCGACCATCCGGCGACGACGAACAAAGGGACCGGAGCAGGTAGAACGCTGCGGCCGCGGCGCAGTGGGAACGCTCCCATTTAAAGCCGTGTTCTGCTAGAGGTGGCGTGTGGCCCCTCCTCCGCTTCGCGTAGCTGGAGTTCGGCGTCAGCTGCCGCAGCAGCCGCCGCCACCCGCTGCACGTGGGAAGGCCTCCATTCAAACCAATGCTCTGCTATGCGCCGCGCTACTGCGCGCCGCGCTGCGGCCGCTCCGTGGGAAGGGGCCCTTAGGCCGCTTGCCCATGCCGCCACAGAAGCGCGCGAACGTCAATCATCAGGGCCGTTCCTTTGTCCGTCGTCGCCGGAGGGTTCGAAGGGAAATCAATTTTTACAAATTTATTTTATGGGCAATTCAGATGCGGAAATTGATAATCGTTGTGCTCACAATCCAACAGTGAAGAGAACCATTGTCCAAGAATTACAAATGTTCCTTCATCAGAATAACAATTTAGTAAACATAATAATAGACATAATATTGTAATTCGAGCTGACAAAACACCTATCGGTGAACAGACAAGGAGGTTTAATTCACCTACCATCGATGAAGTGTCTTTGTGGGAGAAAATTTACAATCTAGAGATATTGTGCTTCATCGTCGGAATAGTGATTTAAAATGTGTTCCTGAAACACACAGGAGTTATGATGCACTACAATATCCTTTGATCTTCTGGCAGGGGGAAGATGGATATCGTTTAAATTTTATATTTAACAGACAACACTGTTATGATACAGTCTGTTAATCAATTTAAGCTTTACTATAAACGTATATTTTTGTTTTGTTTTGTGGCTGTAAATAAACAAAGAAGAACGTTTTCCGGGACGCGCGAACACGCGACGTATAATTGTACATGCGCGAAACAGGAAACCTAAGTTGATTCCAACAACCTTCGTAACGATTGTCCTTGCATATATTTTATGGTCATCGCAAAGGCCAGACATACTGGGAAATTGTAAGCGTATTTAAAATCGAATGGTAAGTCCGTTGGAATCATGGTATCTGCGGAATCAAGCCATCCTCTCCTTTGTATTTTTCTTTTATGATTGTTTGCCTCAATGACGGGTTATTCATCAGCTTTTCGCAGCCAGTTTTTCTCATTGCATAGTCGAGGTTGATTAATGTTACGCAAATGATGACAACTGATCCTACTTTTAACTGCAAATTGTGGAGGTTGGTAATCTATGCAAATTCCATGAATTAAAACTCCGTGGGATTAGATGACTTACGTTCATCCTGTTCATAAACGGTGTCGACTGATTGAAGGAACCAACTGTTCCCTGGAAGAAAATTCTGAATGGTCGCATTGAGATCTCCACATCTTTATTTTTCGCGCGCCAATATTGCCCGTTCACCAGACGATTATGGTTAAGGTTCACAGACGATATATCTGGGAAAACGCTGAATAAGCTCCTCTTTGAGTCTGTATTTGTTAGTGTAGGATTCAAAGTTTGACGATGGGCACACGATGCAAGACATTCCTCAGACATGTCATCTACGAAACTAACCACAAACATTTTGGGATTCGAACGGGAACATGTCGATAATGATAAATCGCAAAAAACGTACGAATTTGATTGGCGATGAAAATATTACCGGAATCCTTGAGCGTATCATCCCAGTGCGAATGCGGTTTTCAATAAATGACAGGCCATCAGTAAGTCGCACACAGCGTCCATTAACTGTTTCTCAGTTGTTAAACGATTTCGGACCGACCGAACATTCACAACAACAACAGCAAATTCATCGTATTTGGATGTAAGTGTGTATGATGCGACCCAGAGGTCGGAAGCAAATACATTGTATGTCCTTCAACTTGTTTGTTTTGTTTTCGACGCTGAAACGATTTCGTACGACGCGTTCCATGTGTAATAGCGTGCATGCTGGATACAACAAACTGCGAGCAAAACTTCAGTTTGACAGACTATGAAAAACTTGTTAATGTTGTCGACGGTGGATGTGCACGTTAGATTCATTAAAATAAATCGTTGACAATTTTCATAAATGGACTTGCAAATGGACTACTGTTAGGGTGTCTTCTGATCGCAAATGAAAAAGATACGCAAATTGATCGTTGCTACTTTACATAGCGACCCTATCTGGTACTCGCAGATATTTCATCATTTGCAATTGGTTTACACCGAGACAGCCAATATCACTGTACTTTGTTTTACATTTTACATATGTACTTTAATCGATTCACAGAGTTACAATATTCATATTGATGTGTCTCAAAGCTTTGGCCAATATTGCGAGTGAGCGCAGCAATCCAACGATTGGTCTACATAACATTTTGTCCTTCTTACCTTCACACTTACTGAGCGCCATTGTCCGCAGCTGATCGCGACGTACAATGGTATCCATATTTCCCGTTATGGTTCAAGCAAGAGGGTCTCTGGTGTATATCTTGGAACAGTTCCCGTCGACATAAGGGTGAATTAGTCGTTAGAAAAGTCCCAAGGGTCCAGCGTTTTGGTAACTACTGCTGCAATTTTGGGTCAACTATTATCATCTGGAATTTCAGCTGAAATTATGGAATCAATATATATGGCCCTTATTTTTTGTCCACCTAACCAGACTAAATGTGCGCATGTGGCAATCCAGCCTTTTGCCATTCTACAGAGTAGCATTCCAACAACGTACCTCGCCATAACACAATGCTTTAATTAATTCATGAGAGATCTTTAATTTTCTGTTAAAAACTCTGGAACTTATGTCATGTCTACCAACTGGTGTTTGGCTATGTACAAATTCCCTCTCGATTTCGGACATTTTGGAGTTAATGTGAATGTAACAAATATAGTCTGGGCTGCCAATAATGCCCCCCCTTACATATGACATAGCATCCTGAGCATATTCATGCTGTGGCGTGATCTCTCTCT